TCTGGGGTCAAATGCTGTTGCATTGTACTTGGAGTAAGACAGACAGCCCTTGGGGTTGGCCAAAGTGTGTGACCTTGGTTAAGTTACGAACACCCTCCTGCTTTTATTTTCCTTACCTTCGACTTTGGACTAAAGATAGCACATAGCCTCAGACTATTGTGTGAATTCGCAAATATTAATATATAATAAACATTTAGGATAGCACCTAGCACATAAGCAGAACACAACATGTGTTAGTAATAACACTAATCATTACTACACCGTCTTACAATTGGGTGTATATTTTTCTCTTTCGACTGCACGCGCTACAAGAACAGCAATGACCATACTTTGGCCATTCTTATATCCCCAGGGTTAAAAAAATACGTTGAATATTTGAATGAAAAATTGGATGTATGAGCAAGGGAGTAAATAGGCAAATTTATTAAGAATGTAATGTGAATAATCAGAATTGGTAAACATATGTACACTGACATACGGACCTCTTACTCCTTAAAAACAGACTCGGGATTTTGTTTTGCTCTACTTATTACAACAGTGAGGTGATTCTGTTTCAGAAGCCTGATTATGCAGGATCGTAGATCTTTTGATTCTGGTTTCTTGGTCTTGACTTCATTCTTCCAACATAGATTGTGCAGTTGGAATCTCAGTTAATTCGGCCTCAGAAAGTGCCACATTAATTTCCTAACTATGTCATCTGTAAAGGGCTTCCTCTTTAGCTGACATCATTTATCTGCTTCTGTCAAGATGTCCTACTGTGATTAGAGGGAAGGCAAGTTCCTGGGGGGCATTAGGTTAATTTTTTGCAAAGGAAAAGACATTTTTCTATTTATCATTTCCTCTGCAAGCTTCAGCTAGACTCTGCTTTGTTTTGGACGACGAGTGCGAGCAAGTGCTGGTAGTCAAGGCGCTAGGATCATTACTGCAGTCCGAGCGCCGAAAACACGTAGATGTGTCACGTTATTAATTAATCGGATGCATTATTTTTCATCTTACCTTCAAGCACAGCGCCTTAGTTATTAACAAGTGGTATAATTTATCCCTTGGAGGCCGTCGGAGTGACATAATTGCATTTTCAAAAACAGTCCTGCAAAACAAGATAGGAAAGTACCATAGGTTTTATGTAACACCAGAGTCTACTTACAAAGTTAAACCATCAGACATTTCATGATCACCTAATGAGTTACGAATTAACATGGAATTCAGGTATCATTAAAATAATCTAGGAGATAGACATTATCCATTTTTTTCCTACAAAAAGTTCCTATTGAGTGAATTTACAAAGATTAATACATAATAAATATTTAGGATACCACCTGATACATAGGCAGAACAATATGTGTTCGTAAAAAATAAACCTTAACTTTTCCATTCTGTATTCATTGTTACACTTTATTTCCTCTCAATCCCTCTCTCTCTTTAAAGAATTATTTGTTTATTTGGCAGAGTGATAAGACGGGGGTGCGGGGGAGAGCTGCTTCTATCTAGTAGTTCAGCTTCAAATGCCTGCAACAGCCAGGGCTGCACTAGGCTGAAGCTAGGAGCCTGGAACACTGTCCGGGTCCCCCATGTGGGTGGCAGGATTCCAAGCCCTTGAGCCTTCTTGCTGCCACCCAGGAGCATAATAAGCAGTGAGCTGAAGCAAAGCAGCCAGGACTCAAACCGGCGCTCTGACATGGGATGCCAGAATTGCAAACGTTGTCTGAGCTTGCTGTAGCACAAGGGCACCCCCCTCCATATTTCCTGAACGCATTCCAGTGAGACACTTGGACACCAACACTGCTCTTGTCCAGGCGTCTAACAGCCTCCATGGAATCAAATCCCACGATCATTTTAGTTTACATGAAAGCCTTTGTTTCACCCCTTGGACTCTTCTTTACTTCGTAGTTTTTTTTTTAAATCTTGTCTTTATGAATAATTTCATGTTTTTTTAAAATAAAAAAACCTTTTAAAAAATAATTAAAAGTCAGCTTTTTTTCCCCCCTTTGGAAACAAGGCCCGAAGGAAATTGCAGAAATACTTCAGAGGAGTAACAGAAACCCGTTATCAGCTTCTGTGGCTGCCTGTGGTGTATCCCGCACCCATCGGGAGACCCGAAAGGAGCTCCCAGATCCTGTCTTGGGCCTCAACTGCTATGGCCATTTAGGGCGTGGATCCATGAGTGGAAGATTTCTCCATCTCCTTCTCTCTTTCCATCTATGACTCTGCCTTTCAAATTAATTAATTAATTAATCTTTTCTTTAAAAATCCACGAGACCAAGAGGTTGTCTGGGGAGGTAATTGTTAAATCCTTAGACTCCAGAACAGTATCTGGCACACCATTATCTCAACAACAAATTCTGTAAGGAAGCTAAGCTTCCATAATTCTTTACGCTAAAGAACTAAATGACTGTCCCTACAGTTGTTTAATTTTTCCCACTTTGTCCAACATGCTGCTGTACATCTTGAACTGTAAATTCATAACACAATGAGAAGCTGGCTAATTGTACTTGGGGTGAAAACTTGCACCCCAAGGGCTGAAGAGATGACTCAGTTGCCTAATCCTCCACCTTCAAGTGCTGGCATCCCATATGGGTGCTGGTTCATGTCTTGGCTGCTCCACTTCCCATTCAGCTCCCTGCTTGTGGCCTAGGAAACCAATGGAGGATGGTCCAAAGCCTTAGAGCCCTGAACCCACGTGAGAGACCCAGAAGAAGCTCCTGGTTTCTGGCTTCGGATCAGCTCAGCTCAGATCATCTTGGCTTCCATCAGAGGATGCAAGACCTTTCCCTTTGTTTTTCCTTTTCACCATAAATTTACTTTTCCAATAAAGATAGATAAATAAATTTTAAATATTTTTATTTTTATTGGAAAGTCAAATATATAGACAGGAGAGACAGAGAGGAAGATATCTGTCTGCTGGTTCACTCCCCAAGTGGCCACAATGGCCAGAGCTGCGCCCATCTGAAGCCAGGAGCCTGGAGCTTCTTCCGGGTCTCCCACACGGGTGCAGGGTCCCAAGGCTTTGGGCCATCCTCGACTGCTTTCCCAGGCCACAAGCAGGGAGCTGGATGGTGAGCAGCCGAGATTAGAACCAGTGCCCATATGGGATCCAGGCACGTTCAAGGTGAGAAGTTTAGCTGCTAGGCTATCACACTGGGCTCATGAATAAAACTTGAAAAAGAAAACACACTCCCTGGCAGAGCAGCAGTAGAGTCCTCCAAGGTCTGTGGACCCAGCAGGAGACACACCACACTGCTCAGAGCAAAGTATAAGGATGCTCCGTGGCTGTTACAGAAGCTTGCTCTTGAGACAAGTCATATCCAGGATCAAAGGGAAATGTTCTTGTTGCCAGGCGTAGTCCTTACTCATTCTTAACATTTCAAGCAGTCTAGAATGTACAAGATACTTGTTTGAAGCTAAGGAAAAATGATCGCTATGCTAGTTCTGTGCTAGCAGGTGCTTAGGAATGCCCACAAGCCAGGAGCTGGGAGCTCCACCCAGGTCTCCCAGGAGGGTGGCAGGAATGCAATCCCCACTGCCTCCCTGGGTGCACATTAGCAGGACACTGGAGCCAGGAGCTGGAGCCACCTGGGCACTCTGATATGAGATCCATACACACTGCAGTCATGTCTTTAGGCCAAACACACCTGCCCCGGTGGTCACAGTTTCTAATATTCTATGAATATAGAAGAGGATCTTATTCAAAAATATCCTCAGCTAAAGCTGTCTTGCTACTTGAAAGAAAATGTGTGCAATGGGCAAAGATCCGATTGCTTAAGATCTGAAACTTAAATTTACAGTAATCTCTAAGATAAGCACATATACTGTTTTCCTAACTGTGCAATAGAAGACAGGAAGTGAAAAGAGGAACATTCTTAATACTTAAGTGAGAAGCTCATGTAGGAGACACATTAGATGTGAATAATTACGAGAAAGCAAAAAGATAGCCAAATTTGAACGTAAACTAATCTGCATTTGATGTCCTAGCAGGATGTCAAAATATTGTGCTTTAAACAATTCATAATTTCTGTTTCATAAACAATACATGCGTCTTGTAATAAAAATCAAAGCAAGTGTACAGATGTAAATATCTGATGTCTATATTCATATTTTGAAAGCATTAGACAAATCTTGTACCATCTGCTTAGAACTGGATCTGATCATCTGTATGGGAACTCTTATGCTGACAAATAGACTATAAACACCTTGGAAGAGGCTTAGCATGATACCAGATGCTTCTCCTTCCCCCACTCCAGTTTGTTCACTTTTTGAGAATGAATAGGGGAAAGGTTGCGCATGCACCCTTCCCTATTGCACACGCACTCAGCCACGTAGTCCTTTGACAACTGTTTTATTGAGCACTTAGCATAGACTTGGGTCAGGAAAGAGATTCACAATTCTAGTAGGGAGACAACACCCAGCTATTTTATGAAGTACTTGTGGACCTTCAGAGCGATACCTGGAACTATCAAGAAAGCTAAGAAGATGGTGGAGGAGGCTATGGGGGAAGACTAGAGGTCAAACTTTGCAGCGGAATGTAGGAACGGCCAAAGGAGTGATAAGAGGCGTGAGAACACGAATTTCAGAGCATCAGGAATTCTTGCTTCCTCACAACTTACATCCTAAGACAAATGTGCCGGTTGACTAGGCATCCCGCCCACGACTGGAACTTGGAAACAGTCAAAATGCTGATGCTGAGTTCAGCCTTCCGACAGTCTGCAAACCCGGCGGAATCCGAGCTGAGGTAAGGAAGGATCCGGGCGCCGAAGAAGGTGGGGTCAAAGGAGGCGGGACGAAGCTGAGCTGGGGGCGGAGTCCCCCGTGCGTGCGCCAGAGACGGTCGACTCTGCCGCTGGGAGCTGACGCAAGTGAGTCCAGCGTGAATTGGTGTGTGAGTACGTCGGCCTCTTTTCATAGGTGGCGGCGAGCTACACACGGCGTTCTGATTGGCTCAGTGAGTACTGAGCGATCATTGGCTGCGGTGGGTCGTCCGGGAGACGACGGGGAAAAGGAGAAGGGGGTGTTGGGCCTGGCGGGCCAAGTGAGGCTGCGGAGCGCTGCGTTCCTCCCCTGGCTGCGCCCACCAGGAGCCGCGGGGCCAGAGCGCCAGGGCTCACGGCACACCTCCCGAAGTTCCTGCGCTGAGTTTACTAACCACGGGCCGGGACCATGGGTTGCTTCTTCTCCAAGAGACGAAACACTGAGAAGGAGTCGCGACCCGCGAACGAGGAGGAGCGGCCAAAGCAGTACAGCTGGGACCAGCGAGAGAGGGTAACACCAGTCTTGTACCCATCCGGTGGGGGGTCCCTGTAGGACCACGCAGTGTTGGGGAGGTGGGCATCCAGCTGCAGTCTGGCCCGACCTCTCTCAACCGCGGGCACCACTTCTAGGGTAAGGGGGCCTGAAGTAGGCTGCCAAGAGGGCTGCAAGGGGCTTTTGAGTTTTGTTGCAACTAAATGGACCCCTGGGGCATTCCCCCCTGCCCCGTACCCTGACTGTTACTGACTTCCCGTCTTAGGATGGACTCGAGGGAGGAGGGAAGGAGCCGGGAATGCCTTGAATCTCAAATCACTTCTTTGGACCGGCCACACCAGCCGGCTTTTTTTGCCCAGTGGTCAGGTTTTCACTTGGGACTGATTCTCATCTCTTTGGCGGCTGGTGTTCTATAGCTGTGTTTCCTTTTGCATGGTCCCTCGGGCGAATTTTCACAGTTTCTAAGGTTAATGTCCAGCTTTGCTCTTCCTCCTCTGCTAGTTACCCGGAAGGAATGCTGAAAATCCAGTAAGTCTTGGAATGCATGTTCGGACTGTAAGGTGAAAGGAACCGGCGTGAGCCTGGCAGTAGTTTACTACTGCTTTACATCAATGAAAATGGCCTTATTTTTACTTTTATAAACTCAAAGAGGCAGAAAAACCAAAGGTCTGAACACATCCGCTGCTCTCTGACGGAACACACCTACTCCTACGTTTCATAACGCTTCCGCTTTCTCCAAAGTTCTGCATTTGTGCTTAACAAAATGCTTTGATGAACTTACCTTAAAAGTGAGAAATTTACTTTAGTAAATATTAAAGACAACCAACTCCTTGCTTGGTACCAGATCTTTACCCCCCCAAAACTACATTATACCAATTTTCTCCTTAATGCTTTGATATCATAGACCTTTCTGGATGAGTTCCAGTCTCCCAGCAGTTTTCATTCCTATACACTTGTTTCTCAAAACGATGTCAGATGTAAGAGCTGGGACGTGTTTTGTTGTCACGGTGAGCCCTGTCTTCCTGTCCCTGGTTCTCAGACCCTACTTGTGTGATGTGGTATTTTAATTCTCTTACTCAGTAGCCAGCATTTGATAATGTCAATATCAAAAAAATCAGCTCATGCTTTTGAGTGTGTGTATAATAGAAGGTAAACTCTTGATGAATTTTCTAGCTAAATGAACCTTCTATAGGAAGGGGAGGTGCTGTGATGTCTTGTAATTTACAGAAAGATTACAACCATTTTTTTAAGTTTGTTGGGTGGGTGGGTTTTTGAAGATTTCTTCAGCCTTAGGTTTTCCGACAGTGCTTAAATTGTCTGAAAGAAGGTCATGTTTTATTTTCAATCGAGCTTGCAGTTTTGAAGTCATATCTCAAATAAAGTGCTTTTATTTAGAGTAGCAGTCTTGTTTCCCCTGACTCATTGTTTTCATAATAAATTGTCTTACAGTTAATCATAGTGTTTGGGTTAGTTGAGATCCCTTGTTAATCCTTCTTTTAGATAAATAGATGTGTTCTGTGATTTTTTTTTTCTTTTGCTCTTTGGCTAAGTAACAGCAGACTCCAGCATCTAAGCATCTCCCCCCGCACCCCCGCCAAATGAGCCTGTAGAAAACTTTGCTTTATAGAACACTATTTGGAATGTACAAGAAACAGTTTTTGACACTGCTCCCAGGCACTGTTATTATAGAAATGTAAGGAATGGATATGCAAACATCAGCTCATGCTTTTGAATGTATATGTAAAACTCTTCATCAATTCAGCTGTCAAAAATCTTCTAACAAAAAAAAATATTCTAACTAAATGAGCCATATATTCTGAAAGCAAGTCAAATTTAAAATTTTTTGGACCATCAGAGAAAAAGAAACATCAGCTTACACTTTGAGACAGTGAAGAACCTCTATTCCTCAACGTTGTCTGTTCTTTTTGGATCTTACTTTAATCGTAAAGGTGCCTCAAGATAGCTTGTTAAGTTTTATACAATTTTAAAGTATTTTTTTAATCTAGTTTCATCCCTCCCATGAGGTCTGTTGGGGCAAGTGTACATGTGTTATATTAATCCAGTTGTACTTTTACTGAGCGTGGTCTTGCTTGCTTGCTCGCTCCTAGAAGACTTTAATTGTACCTTGGAAGGAATCAGATGCCAGTATAACTCAGAGAGCATAAGTGAGATACGTTACATGTATATAACAGAAATGGTTTGCTTTAAAATGTTAGGCTTCAGTAATGTACAGCTTTAAAAGTTACAGCAGACAATGACTATTCAACTTGTAATACTCTTGGTATAAAAGCAAAATGAGTTGTCTGAAAAGTTCCCTTGAAATTAGGAAAAGTGGTATTTAAATGTTTTCCTTAGTTGTAATCGGAGGATCTTTGTTGAGGGGCGTCCCCTGGGTTTGGGGTTTTGAGGTGTATAATTGGGTCAGTCTTAGGGGAATGAGGTGAAGTGAAATGGTCTCAATTAGAAAGAATGTTTGGGAGTGAGTGTTGTCATGACAACCGACATACTGTAGTCAACAGTGGAAATTCATTTTCTGTTGCTGCTGACTTTGAAAGAGAAAAAAAAGCTGATTACACATCTACTACACTGATGTGATGGGAAATATATTTGGCTTGTAAGATCTGTGTTTAAATCATTTGGAAAGAAATGCTTTTATCCTTGCTAACCATCTCTGCTGCCTCGCATAGTTAGAAAACTCAAAATCGTCAGATTTCTCCCCACCCTCCAGGAGCTTACTGGATTTTTTGAAGTTAAAACAAGAAATATTTAGATGCAGATAATGTGCAAATGGGAGGTACAGAAAAGTAGTTTTCACTTGCTGTTATACATGCTAACACTCCTCCTTCTGGATGCTAGAAATGAGGAGTCCTTCTGTAAACAACGATGATGTAAATAAGATTATGTCATAAAGATGAACAATGGATCTCGCAGTGGTTACATTTATTCATATTTGATAGAAATAATGTTAAATAAAAACTCCACATCAGAAACTCAGGTGGCTGTTGTCTAACTGGGCGAAGCAGCCAACTTGTGCATTTCATAGTCCTTGTCTGTGAAGTGCAGCGATGCTCAAGGTCTGTCGGTGATTTAGCGAGGTAAAAGGGCATCCTGAAAAAGAGGGGTTGGACAGTAGTCATCCTCTCTGAGGACAGAAATTGAACCCAAGGTTGCGCAGGACAAAACTGATATAAGACAGATGACAACCCCCCAGAGTTGTTCATCCGTGGAAGGGGAAACTTGTGAAGAGCTGATTTCTGTGTTAAAAACATTCAGACAACTGGATGGTGACTTACTACAGCGAGGTGTATCCGCACTGAGGAGGCTGCTGTTCGTTTGTTTTTGTTTTTGTTTTTAAACTGTGGAAGATTTTGTAGTTATCCATTGCTGTGTAGCAAACCATCCCAGAACTTAACAGTTTTAGACAACTGTATGTATTTATTTTGTTCACAACTCTGCAGTCTGTGTGAGGCTCAGCAGGGTTCACTCTGCGTCAGTTGTAGCAGCTTGAGTGCAAGCTGAAGGATCTGCTTTCAAGACGGCTTAACCACTTAGCTGGCCGGCAGGTTGATGCTGGCTTTTGGCTGAGAGATCAGCAGAGGCTAAGGGCCAGCTGCCTGTCTGTGCAGCCCCGCTTTCTCCAGCATAAGGGCTGGATTCCAAGAGTAAGCATTCTAAGAGGCTGGCAGAAGCTGTATATATATGTGTGTGTATATATATATATATACACTTAAAAGTCTTTATTTATGAAAGAGAGGGGCAGAAAGAGAGAGCAAGTGAGCCCTCATCTGCTTGTTCACTCTTCAAATGCTCAGAATGAGAAAGATCAAGTTGGGGGTCAAAGCCATGAGCTAGAAACTTGATTCACAAAAGTGACATGGAGCCAGCCAGTGGAGCCATTGTGCCTCCTAGAGTCTGCTAGCAGGAGTCTGGAGCCAATAATAGAACACAGAGTGGCTGATGGGGAGCATGGGTACTAGGCTAATTGCTTGCTTGCTCCTGACTAGCTTATTTTTATTTTCTTAAGACTTTTTTTTTTATTGCAAAGTCAGATATACAGAGAGGAGGAGAGACAGAGAGGAAGATCTTCTGTCCATTCATTCACTCCCCAAGTGGCTGCAACAGCTGGAGCTGCACCGAAGCCAGGAGCCTGGAGCTTCTTCTGGGTCTCCCACAGAGTTGCAGGGTGCCAAGGCTTTGGGCCATCCTCGACTGCTTTCCCAGGCCACAAGCAGGGAGCTGGATGGGAAGTGGAGCTGCTGCAATTAGAACCGGCGCCCATATAGGATCCTGGCGCGTTCAAGGCAAGGACTTTAGCTGCTAGGCTACTGTGCCAGGTCCCTCACTAGCTTCTTAAGTGTGTTCTTCCATCACTTATTTTTACTTAAGTAAGTGGAAGCCTTATTTCTTCTCTCTTTTTGTCACTTTGCCTTTCAACTAAATCATTTCTTTTTTTTTAAAAGTTCATTATTTTTACAACTATCTAATTATAGAACATTTTCATCCCTGAAAAAAATGAATCCTTGTACTCAATAGTAGCTCCCATCTATTCCTCTTTCCCCCATTCCTGGAAAACATAAGTTTATTTTGTGTCTCTCTATATTTGCCTATTTTTGACATTTCCTATCAACAAAATCACAGTATGTAGCATTTTGTGACTGGCTGCGCTCAAAGCATGTTTTTGAGTTTCATCCTTATTATAGCATGTATCTTTACTTCTTTTCACCACTTAATAATATTCCATCACATAGGTGTACTGCATTTTATTTATCCATTGATGGCTGTTTGGATTGTTTCTACTTTCTAACTACTGTTGATAATACCACTCTCAACACTTATTTATAGGTTTTTGGGCATGTTTTTCATTTCTCTTTGTTGTATGCCTAGGAGTTGATGTATGGGCTCACATAATAACTGTGAGCTTTTGGAGGAAGTGGCAAAAATCAAACTGCACGATGCTGCATTGCCATCAGCAGTGTAGGAGAGTCCTCATTTCTTCACTGGATGAAGTGCTGATAAAG